GTAACTGGTCAGTCTCTATGTGACAGCCCTGAGACAGCCGGCCTGTGACAATAGAGCTGACATTTTCACACCACTAGATGTCAGTATTGCTCTTCTATCTATCTATCTATCTATCTATCTATCTATCTATCTATCTATCTATCTATCTATCTATCTATCTATCTATCTATCTATCTATCTATCTATCTAGTGATATGGGGGTCTGCCAAAGAATAAACTGACTCAGCCATATCGTGCTGCTCTGACCACTCTGGATCATGATGCTGTGTGTGTATGTGTGTGTACAATGACTCATTGTTTTAGCTCACAGCAGGGAACCTTGTTTTTGTCACGTCACATTGCTCCATCACATTGATCCCATTGATCCTTGTGAGTATATGATGTGTTTGTGTTCTTGCTCTCTAATCAGAGCACTTTCAGGCTGATGTGTTACAGATGTTGAGAAGAAGACAGATAACCAATCGAAGCTCCTGTTTTTAATTCCTTATCTTCTTTTATATTTCCTTTTTTCCTTTGCATAGACGTTCATTTTCACAGACACAGAGGATGTGGACCTAACTTCAGAAGGTAAGCAGCAATCTTGAATCTCATTCACACAAAAATTTAGATTTAAATCAGAAAATTTATGTGGGCGCATGCAAATGTGTCTTCCATTCCTTACATGGGATGTTTCTCAGATAATGCTAGAGCACACAACCTTAAATATGTAAGCTCATCCTCTGTTTCAAGATGACAATGCCACAGTGCACAAATGCAACACCACAGACATCAGGAAGACTTCTAATACTGACGTGCACACAGGAATGAGATGAACTGACCCATAACTCTTACCCAAGGCTATAGGATAACTAGGCAGCTGCCTTAGGCATCCCCTGTTGAAATATTTTGTTATTGCTCCTGAGCTGCTCTTTAAAGTCTGCCACTAACACCCGCTGTCAACACCACTGCTCATACTGCAGCAATAAACATGTGACACAAAGGGGAGACTGCAGGCAGGCAGTTAAAGGACTCTCGACCAACAATCTGCAACGAGAATTTACATTAAAATCAGACATTTTGATATTAATCGAGCAGCAATGAATCCAGATGTGCCCAGATGTTGTGAGAGTCACCAAAAATGAATGCAACATAACCTCACAGGAGCTGAAGTTGTGTTTTTGGAAGTCTTTTTTGCCCCTAAGAGTATTAGGAAGGATGAATATGAGCGTGCCCATACAGAGAGAGGCGCATGCATTTACTCATGTGGCACAACAGCAGTAACTTCATCAATTATTTAGTCACAAACACTAAAACCCCCAAACCACAGCCACAGCCCTGGCTTAACCAACTCTGTAAATGCTTGTTGTGACTGCAACAGTGCTTCGATTTCCAGCTGGCCTCTCATTTCTAGTCTGTTTTGCCGAGTAAAAATGACAACCGGGCAGACTGCAAGCCAGACCTCATCACCCTACATCAGTGACTGTTTTTTACAAATGCTCCTGTGGGTAAATTGAAGGGAATTCTTTCAATCTGGGTCCTAAATATCGTGGGGTGTCTTAAATAGATAAGTTAAGTGGAAGCTGTCCTAGCTGTCTACTCATGCTGTTAGCCTGTTAGATTTTTCCTTCTTCTGTTCACCCCTGTTATATTGTTTCCTCACTCTCTATCACACACATATATTTTCTCTCCATTTCTAATATCACTTGTCAATCACAAACAGGGTTGATCGTGGCTGATGGTAAAATAATGTACCATGCAGAATGGTATAATCATCAATACACCCAACCATGTGCAACTGCTTTGAAACAGATGGCATCCAGTAGTATCTCTTTCTCATCTCTCTCTCTCTGTCACCAGGTTATAACATGGTGGTAACAGACTGCCAGTCTGATCACAGTCAGCAGGCTCTGTCCTGCAAGATGTCTGCAGAGTACGACGGTTTCATGGCCTCAAACAAGAGGTGAGCCCGATTACGGTCTGTCTAACGCCCTGCCTGCACCGGCTTTAAAGATCAGATTAAGATTGCAAACTTTAACGATCACTGTGGGGAAATCAGACTGTTACAGCAGCACTTAGTGCGGCGAGAAATCAAAGAAGTAAATTATGTTCCAGGGTTACAGAGGCATAAACAGAGGTGAGGATTATTACAGTCACACTTATTACAACGGTAATCTTCGAGGAGTTTTTTTTAAAGGAATTTATTTTAGCATAACCTGTGCATTAATAGATCATCTTAACTACCTTTTCTGTGCGGTGCTGTCCAACTTGTAAAGGTATGAAGAACAGCCTTTTATGTTTTTATTTTTTATGCATTTGTAATAAAATGAATATAATTAAAAATATTATTAATATTGGGTTCGGAGGGCAGACTTGTTTAGAAATTCTTGGAATTCTTTGAAAGAGGAGGAATTTCTCTGCCATTGATTTTTTTCTGGTTCCTTCATTTCCTCTTCCATCTGCTGTTTTAAATGAATGAGTCTGTCCATCCATTCATCTCTGGCTTTTTCCTCTGCACCAAAATTCTCCTTCGGGGTTCTAATTGATTGTAGGAGCCTGGAAGTTTCTCCTGCGCTCCTGGCTGCTTTCATTTTGTCCTTTTGTGCCTGAAGTACTGATGTGGTCTCTCTGTGCTCAGCCAGGAGACGGCACTGGTCCTCCTCTCAAATATCATCTTTGGTCCTGTAGCATTCTGTGAATGTGGGCCAGTACAGCCTTACACCTGCTGTGATAAGTCTGTCTGAGCCTTCCTCCTCTTAGTGTTAAAAACACTGAGTTGTTTAATTTATTTGGGACAAATCTGCATCTGTGGGAGTTTTGTGCAAACGATAGTAGTCTCCTGTTTTTCCTCATCATTTTGTGTTGCAAGAAGCTCTTTAAACAGTTCTGTCTCCTTAAATAAGGCAGACTTTTCATTCCCTATGCAGATACTCTTATGTCCTTGATATTATTATATGCTCCTGTTCCACATTCTTCACAAGTCACTGATTCTGTTCAATTTAGTTAATTTTTGTTTACATAGTGTCAAGTCACAACAATCACCACAGGTGCTTTATATTGTAAGCTACAGACCCTACAATAATACAGCCCCAACATTCAGACAATCCCATATGGAGCTAGAACTTGGTGACAGTGGGAAGAAAAAAAGTCCCTTTTAACAAGAAGAAACCTCCAGCAGGACCAGGCTCAGGGACGGGCGTGAGTTGAGGAGGACAGGACAAAGGACACACTTTGGAAATGCAGAATGGCACATAAACACATAGACAGTGAAAGGAGTTAAGTGAAGAAGAAATACACAGTGAGAAGCCCCCAGCAGCCCAGGCCTATTGTAGCATAACTAAGGGAGGGTTCAGGGTCACCTGATCCAACCCTAACTATATGCTTTATCAAAAAGGAAAGTTTAAAGCCTGATCTTAAGAGCACAGAGGGTTTCTGCCTCACAGAAGGTATCAAGCCAGATACTCTAATCCAGGGGTAGGCAACTCCAGGCCTCGAGTGCCAGTGTCCTGCAGGTTTTAGATCTCACCCTGGGTCAACACACCTGAATCAAATGATTAGTTTGTCACCAGGGCTCTGGAGAACTTCAAGACATGTTGAGGAGGTAATTTAACCACATAAATCAGCTGTGTTGGATCAAGGACACATCTAAAACCTGAAGAACACCTGCATTCGAGGCCTGGAGTTGTTTCATCTCCTCTGTTAAATACTCTACCAAGACATCAGGTGACATAGATTAGACAAACATAATAACTTTTTTTTCTTCACCGTATTGGTGAGAGAGGACAGCCGGTGCACTCTTGTAGTGTGTTATTTCACATTGATTTTCTCCCAGTTTTGAAGTAGTTACTTTTAACTAGCACCCTGTTTGCCCAAATGGCATCTAGGTGATTGGGACTAAGTAGGTCTTGACATATCCTGACATACAGCAATTTATGTCTTGTGGTTTGATAAGTGGAGGCTCTGGTTTGGGCACTGTAACAGTCAATTTACACACAGTTGTTTGGCAGTATTCTAGCAACTGCAGTAGGTGGGAAGCCCGAACAGCATGCTGATGCTTGATGACGTGAAGACTCCAGCGACACTTAAATATTAGGAAACAGCTTTATTAAGTGACCAATGCGTTTCTGCCTTCATCAGGGTCATTGCAAAATGTCAAACAGTTTGCGTTTAAATAAAAAAACAGTAAACAGAAAAAAAATCCAAGTGGACCAATCACACCTTCACAAATAAACAAGCTGACCAGTTAACATTTAACAAGGTGGTATTGGCTAATGTTAATTGGTTAAGCCACAGCCCAAATAGGTTCTGGGCTGAACCACTACAGATTAAAACGGGGAGAAAATAAATAAATAAATGAAAACATTCCCATCATGTCTTAATGTAAGACATACTCAAAATTACACAGAAAAATGCAAATAATCTGGTGACAGTTGCAGAGAAGAGGACATTAAAGAAACTGTTGGACATTATGAACAATGCTGGGCATCCTCTGCACACGGCCATAAACAACCAGAGGAGTCTGTTCAGTGACAGGTTGCTTCTCCCAAAGTCAAGAACCAACAGACTTAAAAACTCCTTTGTCCCACACGCCATCAGACTGTTTAACTCCTCAATGAAAGGGAGAGGGAGGAGAAACCGGGGGACAAAGGAGGGGGGAACAACTAAGCTGTAGTGCCCTTTTCACTGTGCAATATTTTTCTATATTCAACGGTGCAATAGACTTACAATAGTTGAAATGTGCAATTCCCTGGTATTCCTATTCCTATTTATTGCTATTATATACTCTGTATTTATATATTCCTCCATATTTATATATGTGTATATATGGTAAATTTCTATTTCTGCTTACATACTTTTGCAACTTCTGTCGGTGCTGTGCTCCTGGAAACAGAATTTCTCGGAGGAACCCACCCGAGGGATTAAAGTTTTATCTAATCTAATATTTAATCTAAATAAGGTAATATAAAAATATAGTAAGTACAAGAACATTAATAAAGGGAGAAACAATGCAAAAACTTAAGGTGTTTGAACAGCTGTGCAGCTATTGCTGCAATTTTCAGCGTGTATCAGTCAGATTCTACGTTTCTCTGACTCGTGTCCTTAGCAGTACACATGGCACAAGTTTGAAGGGGATGTTGAGATCGATGGAAAACCAGCAAACAGATATACAGAAATTGCTTAATTAGTGAGGTAAATGTATGAATGCATTCTGTAATAGCTAACATCATTAGATGGATGTGCAGTCAATAGCTGCCAAACTAATTATTCACCCACTATCACTTCTCAGATAAATGAACCGTGCCCTGGTTGCTTCAGTTTGAGGCTTCAGTCTGACAGCGTTGGGCCTCCTCTGTGTTCGCTGAGCTTATTTGAACCACACCTTTCAGTCACTGTCAGCATCCATAACACCTTTCAACTGGGGCAAAACTAAAATAATGCAATCTGCTCTTAATGGGCCCAGAATGAAGATGATGTATGATCCGCTACACTCTTGTCTGCATCTTTTCCAATTTCATGCCTTGTCTCGAACACTGCATTAGCACACAGTGCAGGCTACCCTTGTGTCGCTGTTGTATTTATTAGCTCTTTGTGGTTATGTAATCACAGAAGAAGAAGAAAAAAAACAGGATTAAAATATTTCCAAGAAACTGAAAAGTTTGTTTATTAGGGACTTGAATATGCACGAGACAACGCTACTTGATGCTGCTGTACAATATAAAGCATTGACAATCTGTTGATACCGATCTATGGAAAAATGAATGAAACTTAACAGCTTGTGTTTGGGGTGGGAGTGAATGGGGGCGTTCATTATTAGAATGGCAGTGAAAATGTTTTCAAATTGGTTCCAAGGAACACTTACAAACCTCCCCAGTTTCACTCAAGTCCCACTCAAGAGGGAAGTGAGGATGTTTGGTTTGGAAGTAAGCCTTTTCTGTTGTTGGGCAGCAATTAGGATGGCAGAGGAAACAAGGCAGCACTTCAGTTTGGTACCAGCAGCTTTGTAATTTGGACTCTGATGTTGCAGTGCAAGCCTGTTTGGTTTGGAATGAGGCTCTGACACCATGTCCAGTCATTAAGATGGCAGAGAAAAATTCAAACAGCTCGATTACTCACAGAGCAATTCAAGCTGTGAAGACAAAAACAAATGTAGATGAAAAAAGCTTCAAAATGGGAGAAGATCTTAAATCTTCTCCCATTAAAATGCCTAAATTCAACATTTCTTTGCTAGCTTTTCCAGAGCTCTTGTGACAGTATCACATGGAATGATCTGCCAATATAACCAAGAGTTCTCATTACACATACAACCTTATCTGTTATCACGTGACCTTAACAACTACCATTAACTGAAGAAGTTAACTAGAAGTTGAAGTAAGTTATTACAGATGTACCTCATCATGTTCTTCTTCCACAAAAAGATTAAGTTCCCTCTGAAATGATATCTTGCTTCACAGGCGTTCTTGAGCCACAATGACATCCTTCTCATGAAGAACACTGTCTGAATGAGTGGGGATAGAGCCATAACTTTAACTCTAATACTAAATGGGACACAAAAATGTTTCAAGTAAATCTGATGAAAAACAATCCTTAAATAAGTTTGTGACTCTGCCTAAAAGTAGGGATTGAAAAGCCTTTCCCCCCCCTATAAGTCCTACTTTATTAATGCCTCAGTTAAGACTGCAGACACAATCAGTGTCTCTGGTTTTCTACCAGAGCCCAAACTCCATGCTAAGCCATGTTATGGACATAATAAGCCAAGAAATGTGATAAGTACCCCTACCTACATCTTTGCTTCATTAAGAATGTGCCTGCGAGTGCATAGCCGTGAATGACAACGACATGCAGGCATCAGCTCTGAGAGATTGGATGCTGATTTGCTCTCTGGGGTCAATTCTGTTTTTCCATGTCTGTCTCATATAATGTCTCTGTTTATGCACAGCATTTCAGTCAGGTTGAGGTCTGGACCTTGATTCTTTTCGTTTTCAGCCACTCTGTTGTGCATTTACTGGTGTGCTAGAGATCATTGTCCTGTTCTATGAACCAATTTTGTGTGTCTGTTGGATATAAGAACACATACGGGTCTAGAATACATTGGTGTAGAGAGGAATTCATGGTCGACTCCAAGGTCCTAGGTAATGTGGCTGCAAAACAAGCCTAAATCGTCACCCCTCCGCCATCGTGCTTGGCAACCCCTTGCAACCCTTCCAAACAAGCCATCGGTTGTTTGTGCTGTCATGATCTTTAACATTGAACGTGGTATCTGAGGCCTGTGGCATCTGAGCTGTAGTGCTTGGGTTTTTTTTTGCTATATTTCTGAGAATTGCATTTTTTGACCTTGGGATAAATTTACTGAAACATTGACTCCAGGGAAGACCTGCAGCTGTGCTGCATGTTTTCTGTTTGTGATTTATTTTTCTCACTGTACAAATGATGAACTTCAAATTGTTTGGATTGTCTGCTCCACACCAGCGAACTGCCAAACCTTCTGCTTCTATAGAGGTGCTCGTACTCGCTGAGGATCAATTAATCAAGTGCACTTGATCAGCAGCACCTGACTGCTGCTTACTGCTTTAATTCCTAAGTACTTACTACTTAGTTTCTCATTGCACAGCACAGAGTCCCATAAACACTCTTTTTCACATGCTGTACCTTGTAAACTGTGATATGAGTAGTTTACAGACTGCTGTGACTCCAGGTGTCTTTTCTCTCTGTTCTCTCACCTGATCTCATGAATTTTAACAGTCACATTTACAAGTTGGTGAGACTGTTAAAAGACTACACGCTGAGTCAAGCTCTGGGTCTGTGTTTGTTGGTTACTCGAGGTAAAGCCTATCAGTGGTGTCTATAAACACAAACAGCAGGATACGAGCACATACAAATGCTTTTCGGTCTCTGTTGTAAATCTTGTGGTTAAGTGGCTGTCACTTCTCTATTTAGATGAAGTATCTGGCACTATGTGCCAACAGAACCTTTATAGGGTTCAACCTTTTTCTTTTCAATGTCTGTAACGAAGATAGCCTTGCAAGGACTTCAGGATATTTATATGCCCAAAGGTCAACTATTTTTCACATGGAGTCCTAAAATATATGTCAACATCAAACTTAAAAGAAAATCTCATATTTTTGCTATGGCATCCAACCACAAGTAAATATATACATATGGGGTAACTAGATGACTTGGGGTCACAGCAGTTTCATCCCCCGTCCGTTTCTCCTCTTCCAGTCAGTGTAAGGTATCGTCATTTCAAGTACAGATGCACGATGCATTACTTAGGTAAGCCTTTTTTCATTTCTCTGTTGCAAGAGTGGAAGCAGCAAAGAAGAAAATTAGTCTTCAGATTTTTTTTTCCGCCTGATTGCAAATGTCAACAGGAGAAATGGAGCGAAGCTGAGAAAACTATTATTATAAACCCAGCACCACGGTTACATTTTAACTGAATATTTTTCCTTTTCTTTCACCGATCGCTCCTCAGGTGGTTTTGTCATGTGGACGATGATAACTATGTCAACCCAGAAGCTCTGCTCTCGCTGCTGTCAGCCTTCCCCCAGGAAGGTGACATCTACGTGGGCAAGCCGAGCCTGGACAAGCCCATCACTGCTCATGAACTGCTGGAGGGCAACGCAACGGTACGATACCACTCATAAGTATTTTAGGTTTCTTGGCACAGTCAACCTTAGCACTAGGACTTGGCTGAGCTCTGCAAAGTACACGCTGAAGTCGTGATCTAGTGAGGAGCATATAACTGCACCCTGAAGAAAAAAAAATCTCTTAAATATACAAAAAGGGAAAAAAACATGAAGGTTTTGGTTGCAGTTCCACGTTCAGTACGTCTCATTTTAAAGACGGAAACTGACAATCTCAAAAAATACTCTTTGTAGCAAAGCATAATGCAACTCTAAACTCAATTTTATTAATGTGGAACGATCATTGATTAGAGCAGGATGGCCGTCCGCAGATTTAATGTTTCCTGTGAGCCTCCTGAGATTCTTTATCTTTCTCCATCTTGGTTTCCTTCTCTCCTCCTTTGTTTTCACTGTTTTCATATTTGCTGTTATGTCACTTGCTTGCTTGTTGTTATTAAATCAACCCTACTGTTTCTCCGGTTTGTGCTCTCTCATTCCATGGATTCTTTTGTCGTTCCTTCTCTCCTTGTGTCACGGTGTCCCTTTTTCGCTCTGTTTTGCAGTGATAGTGAACAGCTTCTTTCTGGAAAGGTTAATTGCTTCGACTAATACCCACAGAGTGCTCGACTCTTTAATGTGTTCTCCACCAGAAATCTTTTCACAGTTTTGATCCTTACTGGAAACGGTTACAGGACCAATTTCAAGAAATCACATGTTAACATGTTTAATTGGGTCGGGCTTATTGCTATTTGGATGTAACAAAGGGTTTCTGCTAGTGTGTAAAAGCCCAAACTGAACCCCCTGCTAGTAATACCAGCAGCTTTCTCTTCATGTTTATTTGTTGTACTTAAAAAAATCATTTTAGACACGAGCTCTAACCATTAGTATAGTTAATGATACCATCCTACTGTTTCCATCAACTGGCTTTACTCATACGAAAGAGTCTCACAAAAACTAAAGGAAAGTTAAAAAAGGGAGTAAAGAACCAGGCAAATGTTATGACCTTTTAGGGTTTTAGCTGTTCAGCTGGAATCTGTTCACTCACGAACACGAATGAAACAAAACAAAATCATTTATAGCTGTATGTGAACAATGTCAGCTGTGATTCAGTGCTTTTCTGCTTGTGTTCACGTCTTACATCTGACGCCGTGTGCATATTGTCCACCATGCTGGAAGTTACATCTGTGACATCTGCAAACATTCACAAACTAGTAGTGAGTGTGATGAACCCAGAAATAGAGAATGTTTGTATGCAGAGTAAAAGTGCACAGCGCTGAGGCTTTCAGACAAGCCGACATCTTCCAGGCAATCTACTAGCAATCAAATCAATGGCATGGATGTTTTTATTGGGGGTGGCTGTAGCTCAGGAGGTAGAGCAGGTCACCTACTGATTGGAAGGTTGGTGGTTCAATCCTTGGCTCCTCCAGTCTGCATGTCAAGTATCCTTGGGCAAGATACTAACCCCAAGTTGCTCTCCGATGCGTCCATCAGAGTGTGAATGTACTTAGATAGCACTGAGTATAGATAAAGTGCTTGTGAGAATGGGTGTGATTGGGTGAATGTGGCATGTTGTGTAGAGCACTTTGAGTACTCTGGGAGAGTAGAAAAGCGCTGTATAAGAATCAGTCCATTTACCATTCATTGCAGCACCTCATACCTCTGAAACCATTTTACCTTGCGGCTGCCAGCAACTGCCAGCAATCACTTACTAACCAGTTTGGGAATAGACATTTTCTCCAGTCTCTA